GCACACCACACACTGCTCAGGCAGCAGCACTCCAACAAGGAACCCTGACGTCCCTCCCCAGGGAGTAGCCAGACAGACCTTAGGGGAAGGAAGCAGGCTGGGGTTGGGATCCTGGTGGCTGGTCTGCACCCCAGCTGAAAGCAGTTCCAAAAACACTGTGCATATCTCACCCCATGACCAGAGATATGACAGTTGTCCCAGGGCCACTGCCACCTCCTGGTGACAGCGTGGCAGGGGGTGCTGCCTGGAGAAGTGTGTGAGCAGGCAGAGGCAGGCAGGACAGACGCAGCACCAGTGCAGGCCCAGGCACAGCAGTCCCTGCGGGGCAGGGCCACAGGCCCTGCTGGGCATTCACTGCCTTCTCCATGACGGAATGCCCTGCCGCACAGTGACTCAGGCAGAGGCTGCCACAACACCCACGTCTGCCAGAGCACAGTGTAGCAGGGGCAGCCGGAGCCACTCTGCCTCCTCCTCGGGACTGGAATCGTGCCTGAAGTGCCCAGTCACAGCCCAATGCTGGCCTCAATGGCACGGGATCCAACACCGCCACAAGCTCCTCATACTCCGTGCCTTGCTGAGCCCCCAGAGCACAGGAAGTCTGTGGGCCCCCAACCTTCTCCTGCTGCACATTCCAACAGCATTGAGGCCTTCAGCCTGACAGGCAGCTTCCACCCAGCCCCCAGGGCTGTCTCAGAAGGTGTGGTCCAGTTGGAGACTGCGGGGTGGGAAAGAGCCACAGCCTAGCCTCATCACCTGCTTGTCCAGCTCTACAAGGATGACTACTGGGTGCCACTGCTTCCCCCCCCCCGCCCTGAGGCAGAAGTGCTGACCCAGAAAGCCTCAGGTCGCCAGGAGGGAAGAGGGACAGGACAGAACCCAGGCAGCTGGCTCCATGGTGGCTCCCAGCCTGCCCCAACCGAGAAAAACCCCTCAGCACTGCATTCCATGAAGGTGTGACAAAACACTTGACAAATGCCATCCAGCAACCCTACACAGGCACACTCATGAGGCCAGACTGGCCACAACTGCAGACCTGGTCCAGGCCCCAATAAAAAGTGCTGCTCAGAGAGTCACTGGGCCTCCCACTCTCAGCCTTCAGAGCCATGTCCCACAAGTGACACAGGTAGGAACGAGCCACTATTCAGCAGCTCCCACGGAGGGACAGGAACAGTCACATCCCCTGAGGATGAGCCTCCCACGGAGGTCTCACAGAGTTCACCCTTGTCTGCACCTAAGTTTGGGTCAAGTGGACACAAGTACAGAACTGGTTAAATGAGGTTCTGGTCACAGCCCTGGCTTCTCATCAGTTTATGTGGAAACCCCAAGGCTCCTCCCTGAGTGCAGGGAGGGTGTAAAGAGGGGCTCACCTGAGGGAGCTGACTGCAGGAAAACATCCCAGCATGCTTACCCCAGCCCTGTCCTCCAGTGAGCTGATCCCCAGCCACAAAGCTCTACTGCCCTCTGCTGGGCAGAGCATGGATGCACAGGGGTGCTGACCTCCCCAAAGGGTCCCCAAAGGTCATATTCAGAGGCTCTGCTGGGGATGGCAGGAGTCAGGTAGTAAGCAGGGGAGAGGACCACACATGCTCCAGGGTGCCTCCCTGAGGCGTGGGCACCAGACGGGAGCTGCCTGAGCTCCACACAAGCACGCATGACCTCACTCCAAGGCCAAACGGGGCAACCAGCAGCAAAATCCCAGGTGAGCTCTGTGCCTGAGGAAAGGACTGCCAGGCTGAGCACAAGGTGCCAGATTTGCTGCCCTAGTTGGAGCCTGCACATACTGGGGCACTGAGTGCAGGGGGGTGTAAAGGGGTGCTCACCTGGGTCCGCCAGCACCCTCAGCCTCCACTCACAACTGAACTGGGAGGAGCTGAGAGCTGCTTCACCAGGTCCCAGGGTTCCTGGGAAGCCCCTTCTGGCCCTGGGCCTGACAGAGGGCAATACAGAGCCTGTATGGAAGTGGAAGTAGGGGTTATTTTTGGGGGGCGGCCGGGTGAGATCATGCCTTTGCTCTTCCCTTCCACACTGTTCCCACAGAAGTGAGCAGACCCTACTCTCCTGGGTGCAAGATCCCTGCCTGGACCAGCAGAGGAGAGGCTCCAACAGAAACAGGAAACACCAGAGCACCCTGGGCCCCTGGGAGAGGACGCCCTGGCCAGGCGGGGCTCTGACTCTTCTGGGCCATGCTGCTGCAGCCCCCCTATTCCAGGGTTGCAGACATGACAAGGATGAGCACACAGGCAGAAGGCACATGACCTACCCACCTAGCTAGCAGGAGTTGGGTGTTGCAAGGCCTTCTACCTGCTGGTGAGGAGGGGCAGAGCTGGGATTCTGCTATGAGGATTCTGTATCCCTCAGCAGAGGGCGAGCTCCCCAGCTAGGCACTCTCCACATCTGGGTGCCTCTCTATGGTCTGCAGGCCTCAGCCTCAGGCCCACAGTGGAGGATATGTCTTTTGGCTGTCCACCTGTACCAGGATCCTCATAGAGGATCCCACAGTCACCTGTGTCCATTCAGGGCCAGTGCTGGGGACACACACCAGAAACCAGGGCCCAGAGCCACAGCCCAAGACACAGCTGTTTCTCAGGAGCCTGCAGGGCATGGTGACAATTGGGAAAACCACAAAGGAGGGACAGAGCCCCGGAAGCTGCCTCACCAGCCACCAAGGACCCAGCTGCCAGAACCTGGGTTGACACTCACAGAAGCACCTTTCCAAATCCTGCTGAGACCATGGTGTGAGTCACAGCTGGCAGAGTACAGACTGTGCTGGGCCAGAGCCAGGCAACGTGACATAGCTGGATAATCCATTCCCCTGGAAAGTGGGCCAGAGTTGGAGAGGAAGCCAAGGACTCAGACCACAGCAAAGCTGGGCCAGTCCAGAGCAGTACTGCTGTCTCCTTAATCGGGACTTGCAAGTAAGGGGTCCAGACTTTGTATTCCTCAGAAGGACTCCAACTAACTGTTCAGGGAACCCTTTTGAGAAAGCACTCCATGGAGAGGGGACGGGTAGGAGCAGTACCAGCTGGCCCCCAGGATGGCCCTTCCTGCTCCACCAGCATGTGCCCTGCCATGGGAATGGACAGGGGATCCCTTTTGAGGGCACCAAGGAGTAGTACGCTGCAGGAGAGGGGTCTGAGAGCCCTGGGATGTCAGAGCACACAATAGAAACCAGCCAGCCCAGTCCGCACAGGGGAACAGGACACGCGCTGTCAATGCCTGGGAGTGGAAGGAAACATGAGTGGACATGCTGTCTTCTAGGAAAGAGAGACCAGATGTGGGGAGCCAGCAAGGAAGACTCAACAAGGAGTGCCCACAGGGAAGACCCAACCCAATAGCTCAGTGCTTCCCATGCCCTCCCACCCCCAAAAAGCTTTCATTTACATCTAAGGAAACTGAGCAAACTGCCCAAACACATAAAAAGCTTGAGAATGAGAGGATATGAAAAAGCTGTGCACTCCCGTGGTCACCACAAAACTGCAATGCTGGACCAGCCTCAAAGAAGACTCAGCTCATACAGCCAGCAGGTGCTGGGCACCCCTGCCAAGAACACTGCCAGGAAGCACAGACAAGACGAGCAGCCCTATACTCCAGGTGTCATCCTAAAAACTGTCAGCAGGAGGCAGTCGAAGCTCAAAGGACAGCAGGACACTCAAGACACACGACCCTGGTGAAATCATAAAATCCAAAAGCAGTGACACAGACAACCAGACCCCACAGAAAACACCTGGATAAAACCGCACCTGTGACATAATTGTAACTGGCAAGAAGCTGCAGATGGAAACCTGGAAGAAAAGCAAAATCCTGGGAGCTGCTTAAATAGGAGTTAAGGAAATCACTGAACGCACAGAGAATGTGTCGGTTCGGTGAGGCAGAAAGGAAGCCACCTAAGCACTAAAGGATAAAACACATACAGGATGAAAAGTGTGCAGATGAAAGCCCAAAGACTCCAGAGAGTAGGGTCAGCAGCCCGCTGGGGCAGGGCGGAGTGGGGAATGGTCCATCTGTCTAAACCGAGGCTGTCACCATTTGCAGTACATATAGGTACATACAGCTCTTCTCTCCAGAGTACAGTTGTGAGGACTAGGGATTTAGCTCAGCGGCATAAGCACCTGCCTTGCAAGCAGGCGTTCGTTTCAATCCCTGGTACCAGAAAAAAAAGAAAAAAAAAAAAAAAAAGAAACACAGAGTACAGCTGTGGAGGCTGTGCAGCTCCTAGTGTGGAGGGCCACTCTCCTCCCACAGGCCAGAAGCTTGGCCTAGGCTGGGTGGGAGAAACAGAATAAAGGACACTGGGAGAGTGCATCAACAAAACCCCGGATGAGGAAAACAACTTCCTTTCACATTACAAGCAGAAGAAAAAGCTGGGCAAGGGCCCATGTTCGTACCTGGTTTCCACCACAACAGTCACCATGGACATGAGTGCTATTTACCTGACAAGAAGGAATCCTCACTCACCTGAGTGTGAGAATGGTAGTACAGGTGTTAAGAACCCTCAGAAATATATCAAAGAGGCCGGAGATTTAGCTCAGTGGCATAAGCACCTGCCTTACACGTGTATGGTTGTGAGTTCAATCCTGGTACCAAAAAAAGAGAGAAGTATATCAAAGAAGCCAGGCATGATGATGCACGCCTGCAAGATGCTGAAGCAGGGGAATCATTGCAAGACCAGACTGAAACTGCAGAGTGAGAACCCATTTAAAAAAAAAAAAGTATACCAAAGTACTTCTTAATAAGATACCACAGAGTCTGGTATTCACTTTAAAATCATGAGTATGCGGGTGGCTGGGGATATAGCTCAGTGGCATAAGCACTTGCCTGCAAGTGCAAGATCGTGAGTTGGATCCCTGGTACAAAAAAAAAGAAAGTATGTGGGTGCTGAAGGTATATGGGCTTTTTCAAAACTCTTCCTTAATTTTTCCATAAAAATCAGATTGTTTTCTAAAAGCACAGGTCAACTTTGCTCTACACAGGTAGCACCGTGCCCTCCAGAAGCCACTCACCTCTCCCAAGAGAGACCACACTCCTCGCATCCAGCTCCAGCCTCTGCACCAGGGCGCTCGGATCTATCTGGGTCCCGGAGAAGATGTTGGCATGAAGGAACCCCAAGTCCTGTGAACCCCAGTGGAAAGGAGACAAAGACAGCATCAGGCTGGCTCTGCAGCTTGAGACGGAGATGGGATGCCAGCGGCCCAGCACAGAAGGCCATGCAAGACCCCTGTGACCTTTGCTTAACTGCTGGGGTCTGCAAGAGCTGCCTTACCTCCTGCCCTGCCTTCCTGCCTTGCTCCTGCTCCTCTGCACCTCTCTCCCAGCAGTATTTTCCAGAGCTGGCCCCAGGCCTCTTCCTGCCCTCCCTCTCTAGGCCCAGGGCACAGCAACAAAGCTGACCTGCTTCCAGGTCTACTGACGACCCACAGCCACCCGGCACCAAAAATGGATCACCAACTCCCTCTGCTGGCCACACTGTGGTACACCAAGGTCCACACTTAGCTCACTCAACATCCAGGCTCACAGATTCCACAGGGACCACGGTGCGGGGGGGGGGGGGGGGGTGTTCAGGGCCCAAAGGAGGAGTCCTTTTGACCACCCCAAATTTGCTGCTTCTGATGGAAGGATTACTTGAGACTAAGGGGATCTCAGCTAATAGCAGGTGCTAGAAGAATGCTGTGACCTCAGCATGCATGGCACATGAGCCCAGAAAACCTGTATAAAGAGATGTTGTAAAGACAACCCTTAACTCTCTGAAGATTTATACTTAATGTGAAAAATACACCCACATGACGCTGTCTCTCAAGTATTCTAACCATTAAAAATCTGAATTTCGGTGCTGGGGATTTAGCGTAGTGGCACAAGTGCCTACCTAGCAAGCTCTAGGTTGTGAGTTTGATCCCTGCTACCAAAATAAAACAACAAACAAAAACTCTGAAATCCTGCTTCACACTCTTCATATCAAACTTCAATTTTTCACACTTTCAAATTCTATTTACCATGTTTGGTTTTATTTTTGTTTTTGTTTTGTTTTTTTTTTTTTTTGTAAGTACTAGGGATCGAACTTTAGCAGTTCTGTTTTGCAGCACTCAGGAAACTGAGACAGGAGGATCATCGCCAGCTCAAGGCCAGCCTGGGATACATACGGAGACTCTAATCACCGCCTCATAGAAATGAGCCAGAAGTTCCACTGTGCGCCAGTTCCCAGCCCGGGGCAGGGTCCACACCAGGCTGCGCCCTGAACCGGCTCTGGAGCCGGGGAGGAAGCCCGGCACAGAGAGGGACGTAAACTGCAGCTCCTCGGGGAGGCAAAAGTGCAGGACAGGCGCCCCCCCCCCCAGACCACACGCGATGCCCTCCGGGGCGGGGCGGCGAAGGCAGGGACAGGTGGGGCCCGCCAGCCCTAGGCCCGCGCGTTTAAAGCTTTCCCCACCGCGGCCTCCGCTTTCCCCGGCCTCACCTTCGCATGCGCTCCGCCCGCCGGGGCCGGCGGAAGGGCCGTCTCAGGAACGGGTGGCGCGGGCTCGGTCCTGGGCCTCACGGCGGCTTGGTGCACACGGGCCCGCAGCCCCCGAACTTTCCCCATCTTCCCGGGATGGGCCCTGGAACCCCGGAGCCGGTTCCTCGCGCGCACGTCCGGCCGGAAACACAAGCCGCACCTCCGGGTTCCGGGATCCGCCCGATCCCGGCGCACCTGCGCACTGTGGCTGCCCGCAGCGAGGCTATGCCTGCTGTGGACTGAGCACCTAGATGTCGCGAACTCCTAACCTTTGACCTTGGCGAGAGGCTTTGCGGGCAAGACAAGCGCAGGGCCCGGGAGGTGCGGCGTTTGTCCCAGGCTAGCCTGCCCCACGGTGGGGCAGTGTCTTCTTATGCCCAGTTGCATATGGCCCTCGGGCCAGGTCTCTGGAAGCGGAGATTACCTGGCCTCGTCAGTGGGAATGAGGGGAAGCCCTGGGCAGCCATGTGCGGCTCCCTTCTTGAGGGGTCTGCAGCCTGCTCACCCACTTCAGTGCATCCAGCCAGGTGCTGAGGGGAAGGCAGACCAAAGGTATGCGGTGATCCCCATGGTCCACTTGGGAATGCAAAGGGGAAGCAAAACAAAGCGTGCCTCGGTGGGGCCAGGGGGAAGGCTGCTGAGTGTAGGCCCCGTCGGGATAGGACCACTGCTGCACTCTCACTATGCTGGCAAGGGCGCTGGACAACAGGACAGCCCTGTCCAGGACCCAGCGGAACAGGGGCTCTGCAGAGGAACAGGGGGTGCAAGCAGAGCTGGAGCCCTGCCCAAGAAGGAAGCAAATGCCAACAGACACTGCTGACCTGGTTGGTGGCCCCAGTGATAGACTGGCACTGGGGATTTATTCAAGGCTGGCCTGAGTGGTGCCCACGGGGGGTTATAGAGAACTCTTTTCTGTCCTTGTCTGTCTGGAAAGTTTACATTTGTAATGTAACCCCATGGAGAAGTTACTGGAATTCCAGAGAGTTCATTACAGTCTACCACTTACGGTGCATCCAAGATGAGAATGAAGGCATTAATATAGAAAGATAGATACGCATACATACATATATACAGTTATATGGAGCCAAGGATTCCTAAGTCTGGTCAAGATGGCGCATCACCAGAACAAAGGCTATGACTCAGGTCCCAGCCCAGGTTTATTAATTCTCTGTGAGGGGAGTGGCTTGGTAGCTGAGTGACAGTGAGAGTGGCCAGAAATCCTGGAACTACCTGACTGCTTTGAGCTGGATTAGGTAGGTCTCAGATCACCTCTGTGAGGTGCAGAGGGCATGAAATGCAGAGAGACCCTGTAATCTGCATAACACAGATGAGGTAGTAGCTGATAATTTGAGGCTGATACTTTAGTTCTGTGTTTTGTCTTTTTTTTTTTTTCTTTGTCTTTTTGCTTTTTATTGGTACCAGGGATCGAACTCACGACTGTGTGCTTGCAAGGGAGGTGCTTATGCCGCTGAGCTAAATCCCCAGCCCCCGTGCTTTAGTTCTGATGTGATCCGGCCTGCGGATCAATCTATGGGTCTCAACCTGGAGAGGGGATCGGGGATGGGGGCAGGACAAGAGAAAAGAGAGATGGAGACAGGATGAGATTCCAATCGAGTCTCGTTTATTTTTAAAATGGTTACAACTTATATAGGGTGGGGGCGGGCCATAGGCAGGAAGAAGGCTTAATCTGATAGGTCATCATCATATCCGGATATATGATGTAAGCAGGAGAGGATTATGGGTAATGTAGGCAGGCTGAAACAGGAAGTTTGCTTGTCATGTGCATTGCAGGCAAGGGGAGGATCATGGGAAATGTAGGCTGACACACAAAATGCCCTCAGGCAGGAGGGGCAGGGCAGCAGCAGCTATTCAAAACCGCTCCCTACATCTCCTCCCTTATTATTATATATATTTTTTGGAACATGGCAGGCCCTGGGAGGACAGCGCCTGCCTTGGGTCAAGGACTCCTCATATGAACCCAATCGAGCCTTACCCGTCATGGGCCTGTAGGACAGCTGTTGGTCCTGGACCTGTCTTAGGTGGCCGATTGGCATTACATATGTGTCCTAGTTGCCCGTCTCTGACTGCCTGTCCAGTGCCTCAGGGCGTCTGGGCCACAGCATCATGTGGGCCGTCAGTGGGTGAATTTTCCCGATAAGTTTGTTGTTCTGCCATTTCCAACCGATGGTAATATACCTGAATGGGCTTTGCCATAAATGTGTCAACCTTGTTATTAATGTTATTAATGAGTGTCATGATCCTCTGGAAAACACAAGGTCCTACAGTAAGCAGCAACAGCAAGGCAGTTAGGGGTCCCAAGAGGGGGGCAATGTAAGGGGAGAGATCCTCCCACATGGAGGAGAAGGTGGTTGCTCCGATGCGCTCCTTTTCTCTCTCTTCGAGGTGCTCTCTCAGTTTATTCATGGACTCTTTGACCACTCCCGAGTGGTCAGCATAAAAACAACACTCTTTCTTGAGGGCTGCACATAAGCCACCCTCCTTCATAAACAGGAGGTCTAGTCCTCTTTTATTTTGTAGGACTACCTCAGATAGAGACGTCAGGGACGCCTGTAGAGCTGTCACAGATGCTTTTATTTTTTTTAAATCTTGATCCACTGCTGCCTGTAATTGAGCTAGATGCTTATCTCCCAACACTAGAGCTGTGGTCCCTGTCCCTATTCCCGTTGCTACTCCTAACCCTAGTAACACAGCTAAGGTGAATGTCACAGGTTCTCTTTTAGATATATAGTTGGTCTGCGATGCCTGGAGGTAGTAGTCTCCTGGGTGGAAGGTTATGCGTGGAAGAACCTGTATAAGAACACAAAAATCTATAGACTTGTTAAAAACAGCAGTTGCTATACAGGGTGATAGGCCAAAATTGCAGGCCCAAGATGTTCCTGGGGGTGGAATGAGGTAATTATTTGGCTTGAATTTGGAATGAAGCTGGGCATAGAGTTGTGCTGCCAGTGCTGGTGGATGGCTGGAATCCCCAAGACAAGTTTCTCTACCTGAGACATCAGGGAGAGTCAGCTTGTGGTGATTGTTCCAATCACAGGCAGATGAGCTAGAAGAACTGATAAAGGTTAAATTGAGGGCCTTTCCTTCATAATATGGGGGAGGAGCAGCCAAGCATAACCAACATGATTGGGTGAGATCAGGTTGGGTATGATTTAAAGCCATGTATGCTCCTTTAATCAAACTGAATAGGTTAGAATGTGAATATTGAGGGGCAGGTATATGAACTGTCTGGTGTAGCGGAGCTTGAGAAACTGTTATGGCTGAGGGACTTACTGTGGTTATTTGAACAGCAGTAACAGGATCTGTATTGGGCTGATTGTATTTTGGATTTGGATAATATTTTGGCTTTAGAGCAAAGTTTGGGCCTATGGGCACAACTGAAGTCTGTAGGGGAACCTTTTTTATGAGAATAAGATTTCCCCTGTCTTTACCTGACTCATAAATTTTCAGTCCCCAGGTGCGTCCTATCAGCCAACCTGGGTCCTCAGGAGTGGTGACAGTGACGTTTAGAACCTGACAGGATCTTTGATAGGCCAGTGGGTAGTCACCTAGGCTGCACCCCGGCGGCCCCCATGTCAGTTTAAGGTGTTTATCGGGGAAGGCAGGTTGCCACCCTGTTGCAACTGTTTCACAGCCCCAATAAGCACAAAAATATTCTCCCGGGGAATTACAATATGATCTGCCCCCGGTTGCTGCGGGGCAAAGGTAAAAATGGCTTTGTTTGGGACATTGGAGCCCTGGGAAGAACCAACAGGGTGTGGGCGCAAACCATGGACTTCCTGATCCTATCCAAGTCAAAACCTTTTCTTCGTTGTTCCAGCGGCTAAGCTCCCATTTCCAGGGTCGATGGGGGTTGCTGTCCATTAGATGTAGTTGTGTCACAAGTCTAACGATGATCCATAAGATTTTGACAAGTCGCACCATCTGTAAGAGAACACAGGGAGTTGTGCCTCAGGAGGAAATTTTATTCCTGGGCGTCACATTGGGTCCTCGATGAGGAACTATCTATTTGTTTTATAAGCCTTTTAGGGAGCCATCTAGCTCCTTTTTTCTGTTTGGAATAAATGTATACAGAGCCTCGTCCCCAGATGAGGACTGGGTCTGGACCATTTTATGTGTTGGTCAGGGGATCTCTCCAGAGAACAGATGCATATTGCGTGGCTGTCTGTGTGTGCCAGAAGCGAGATGCTGCAGAGTAGCCTAAGGCATCTAGAGATAAAAAATTTAAAATAAAAAGAGCATGTGAAAGAATATTTTTAGGAGAACCTCGGGTTGGATACCAGGTTTTTTTTTTTATCTTGTCTATGGTAGATTTGAGGGAACGATGTGTACGCTCAACAATGCCTTGTCTTTGAGGATTGTAAGATATACCCGTGGTATGGAGAATATTAAGGCATTTACAAAATTTGGCAAAAGAGGTACTAGTATAGCCTGGTCCATTGTCTGTTTTGAGTTGTTGAGGACATCCCAGAACTGAGAGAGCTGATAGCATATGGGCTATAATATGTTTAGTAGCCTCTCCAGTCTGGAGTGTGGCGAAGATGAAACCACTGAATGTATCAACACTTACATGTATATATTTTAGGTTGTCAAATTTATTAAAGTGAGTGACATCCATCTGCCATAAGGCATTGGGGATCAAACCTCTCGGGTTGACTCCCAGATGCTGAACAGGCAAGTGAACAGCACAAGAGGGGCAGTTTTTTATAATTTGTCTGGCTTGTTTCCGAGTAATTTTGTGGAGGAGGCGAAGGGTCTGAGCATTGAGATGGTGTAGCTGATGAGCCTGTTGAGCCTCAGATATCTTGGAGTCATCTATAGGCCCAGAGTGGGCCATGAATACCTGTGTCCGTGTGGCAGTATCAGCCAAGTGATTTCCCTGTGTAAGGGGACCTGGGAGGCTAGAGTGAGCTCGTAAGTGGCCAATGAAAAACTTATGACTGTGAAGCCGAATCACGTCCTGTAATTGTTTGAATAGGTCTGCAGCTGGGGAGGCATGGCTTATGTTTGTAACAGTTTCTAATAATGGAACAGACTGAGCGAGGTAGGCACTATCGGTGTACAAATTGAAGGGTTGGTTAGGATAAGCAGTGAAAACTGCAAGAATGGCCTGTAATTCAGCTAGCTGTGCGGAAGAGGTGTTTGTCTGAAGGGTAAAAACATTGTCTTGGCTTACATAAGCAGCCTTGCCAGAGGAGGAGCCATCAGTAAAAAACACTAGGGCATCAGAAAGGGGCTCTGAAGCTGTGATTTTGGGGAATACAAATGGATGACGGTTAGCAAAATCAACTAACTTATTTGGAGGGTAATGGTTATCAATGGTTTTTGAGAAGGAGGCTATAGCAATAGGCCATGCCTCAGTGGTCTGAAGTAACCAGTCTACTTGATCTTTGGTGAAGGGTTGAATGATAATATCTGGTTTTTTTTTATAATAACATTTTTTTAGCCTTTTGCCTTGAATTATCAGGTCAGAGACTGTGTGGTAGTAAGGCAATAATACTCTCTTTGGGGAAACTGACAAATGAAGCCACATA